ATAGATAAATACATACATAGATAGATAGATAGATAGATAGAGTAACCCTTGTAGTAGCCCTTACAGTTTCCTAAACCCTAAACCATAAAGCCTAAAACCCTAAAATTTCCATATCACACCCCCTGTAGTAATTCTCCTAAGTCAGGGCTGTTTCACACCGAGGCTCTTGTCTCTTTTGGGCACTTGGCCTTCGACCTGCGACCTAACCCAGAGTCGGAGTAATCGTAAAGCTGTCTTTTTGGGGTTTAAGGTAGGAAGCATTAGGAATTGTGTTTCATCCCTTTGAGGTAAAGTCCCTATATACCCATGGTTTCATATACCTCATATCCTCTTCTAGATTCTAGCTTTAGTCCCTAAACAATTATTGTGCGTGTGTGTGTGTGTGTGTAGACATATATGATACGTACAGAGTATGTATGTGTATATATATATGTATATATATATATGTATATATATATGTATATATATATATATGGATATGTATATATATATATATACATACCCACACACACCCCAAAAACCCCATTCTAAAGATTAAGGCCCCTACAGCAGAGTCTTTCCGGCAGGAGTTTCACCTTGACTCGGTGGCCTGTGTCTTCCTCAGCTCCCCAGCGGACGGCCCCGACCTCAGGTCAGAGACTTGTGTAAAACACCTAAACCCTACACCCTACACCCCTAAACCCTAAACCCTACACCCTAAACCCTAAACCCTAAACCCTACACCCTAAACCCCTAAACCCTAAACCTCGAAACTCATAATATGAATGCCAGAAGAATTGTAGAACAAGAACAGAAGAGCACACGCATCAGCACATAAGGCTGTCAACGGTCAAGCACCTAAATGAATGGGTATATCAGTCTACAGCTATAAAGCCAGGCATTCAGGTGCATAGGCATGAGCATATGGATAATCCGATGACTTGCAGGATATGAGTGACACACGCGCTACGGCACACTAGGTCTGGGTACATGGCATGCGCTGATTACCTACCTACGAGCCTCCAAGCTGCTTGCCCGCTGGCCTGCCTGCCTGCCTGCCTGCCTGCCTGCCTGAAAGCCGGCCTTACGCAGTCATTATTGTAATTCTGGAGTAGCCATTGCCAATCTTAGTTACATTTGGAACCAACGTCGGCCAATTTTGACAGACTTGAGTTATCGAGCTCAGTTTTTCTGCTAGCTGCGGGAAAGGCATGTCGATTAGGTTCTTGGCGCCGGACAGGCTTGGGACGATATACAGACAACCAAAATTCAGCCCTCAAGCTTTGGGTGGGCCACATTGCTCCCACTTTTCAGGGTTTTGGCACCCCAAAAACAAAGGAAACACACCCTCTTTGCATGGAAACTGTTGGTCCAGGTTTCGAATATCTCAACTCGTTCTGATGTTGAGGCCTGGGAAAGCACGCGGATGATCCTCAGAATCCGGGGAAGTGCTACTGCGCACGGATATATGGCGAGCGGGACTTCAGGGCGTTCGGTTACCTCTCAGTCCTCAAGGCACCGTACACGGATGACAGGATCAAGAAGCACTGGGAGAAAGCCGCTGCAATGAACGCGGTCCCCATCCGTCAAGATGCAACCGATGAAGAGAAGGAAGCAGCTACAAAGAAAGCTGTAGAACAGTGGGAGAACATGGGTCGCAGAGCCTCCTGGGGATGTGCCTGGTACAAGCGCTGGTTCGACCTGGTGTGCACGGCTGTGGAGAAGAAGCAGCGGCTGAAGGCAGTCTTCTTTCCCCGCCAGGTGGGAGCAGCACGACGCCACAAAATAGCACCCCCCCAATCGCTCTTGAAATTCAAGGGTAAGCCATCCTGCAAGCTTCTACTACTGATCACGCAGCCTTTCCTGCCGGGCAAGGTGGGTTACGGCATTCCCCGCATGGAGGACCTCTCCAACTGCGAGGTGGACCTTTGGGACGGGGATTCCCGGCCCGACTTATCTTTGGTTGAGGGTTGAAACCCTAAACCTTATAAGCCCCCAGCCCTAAACCCTCATGTTTTAGAGTTTAGGGCGCTTAGGGGGCGCAGAAGTGGTGATGGAGTCAGGTCTTCGGAGTTCGGCGTTTTGAGGCCTGTGGAACTGTGCTTGAGGACCTAGGACTTAGGTTTTTTTCTCTGTTCCGTTCAAATTCCAAGCTTGGGGCTCATTAGGGTTTAGGCTTTAGGGTTTAGGGTTGAAGGACTTAGGGAGACTCGTAGTTATGGGTTTAGGGGTTGAAGCTTTGGGCTGTTTTCGTCGGTTTGGGTTCGATGGCAGGGTAAGCTGCAGCGCTGAAGCAGTGCCTTGACCTACGTAGGTCGCGAACCAGAGCCATTCTAGCCATTTCCAAGCAAAAGCTGCACTGTACTTGCCTCATCTACAGTTACAATGGGTCCATTGAAAAACACTCTCAGCGCCCCCACCAACTAGACAGCCGAGTTTGGATGTGGCGGCTCGCAGAAAGCCGAGCTTGCAACAGCGAGTCTCATGCAGAAGCAGCACTCCGGATGGCACTATGAGGAGGTGGATGTCACAGCATTTCTCAAAGATGAGTTTCCACCAGGGGCCCAAGTGGATGCTTGGCATGAGACCGAAGCTGACGCCAGATGGCGCAAGGGCATCGTGGTGAAGCAGATGGACAAAGTGACAAAAGCCGAGTCTGGTGAGGAGTCCACGGAGTTTTTCTGGCAGATCAAATCCGACGACGACTCTGGTGATCCTCGGATGCCTTGGAAGTGAGTTCTGTCGGTTGTTGGAGCGGAAGGGTCGGCTAGAAGAATTGCTGCGGTCCAGAAAACCCACGAAGGAAATGTTTGAGGCCAGCCAAGTCCGACACCTCAACGTGGCGGTTGAGCAGCTGCTGCACCGTTGGGGCGTCGGCCTGAGATGACTTAAGCATAATCTTCTCACAGAAGGCGGCATTGCTTTCTCGACTGCGATCGCAAACGCAGTGCAGCTTGCGCAGTAAAGTCATGGCCAATAGCCGCATCACCCGAATTCACCACAACCCATTGTTTTTCGCATAGCTCGGTGAGAGTCGCCCGAAGCCTAGCCTGCCGGAAGAGTCAGTCAGGGGTAGGCCTGTTGGGTTTGGGGAGGGGGCCGCTACTTGTGCGAAGACGAGAGGTTGTGCGACATGTAGTCTTTTTTCCAAGGAAGCTAGCTATTTTATTTGCAATATTACAGTAGGAAATAGCTACTTTTCAGGACGGGGGGAGTAGGGGAGTAGGACGGGAGTATGGAGGCTTTTACTATGCTGAATATACTGTCCCCACGGAGTAGATTCTACAAGTCACGCTGACTAAGGCGACGTGCTGGAGCCTGCCTTGCGCCAATGCCTGGCAGACATAGGCCCTAAACCCCTAAAGCCTAAACCTTAAACCCAAAACCCCAAACCCCAAACCCCAAAACCCTAAACCCTAAACCCCTAAACCCTAAACCCTAAGCTTTAAACCCTAAGCTTTAAACCCTAAAATAGGCCTGCGACATCCCACCGCCTGCCGCCTCCGGAGCGGCACCCCGGCGCTGAGCATCGTCATTCAGATTCCCAACGTCGAGGCGCTCCTCACGCTCAGAGATCCTGGGTTGCTGTTAAGGAAATGAGCCTAAGTTACATACTATAATAAGGAAACGCCCTTTTTTTAAGCTATTTACTTTAAGGAAACCCTACTATTCGCTACACTATTTGCTACACTATTTGCTACATACTCCCATGATGGTAACTGAAGAGAAGTTCCTTAGCAGCAACGAAGGATCGCGTCTTGAGCGGCGACTTCGATCGGAGCGTCAACGAAGGGTTGGCCCAGGGGTCTTCAGAGCCTTCGTCCCCATGGATCCGGGGTTTAGGGTTCAGGGTTTTGGATTAGGGTTTAGGGTTGGGTCTGGAAGTTTAGGGTTTAGGGCATTGTCCCTCTTTGTGTGTCTTGCGGTTTTTTGTTGACGAAGACTGTGCCCAGAAGATACCTGCCATATACATAGACAGCCAGTGACACCCCTAAACCCTAAACCCCTAAAGCCCTAAACCCCTAAACCCCGAAGCCCCTAAACCCTAAACCCGAAACCCTAAACCCTAAACCCCAGAGCTCAGGAGTTCAAGGTGAAGTTCGACAAGAGCCGGCTCTTCGAGCTCTA